TTAAGTTTCCACGCCTCGTGCTGGGTCCCCCGGACTCCCCTGCACTCGGCGTTTACTGTGCGTGTGGCCTCTTTCTATGTCCTACTTCCAGCTCTTTATTGGGACTGGTAGGAACCATTTCGTTTATGTGGCCAGTTACCTTCGGAGCACTCAGAGCCCTGGGAGCGAGCTCCATGGTCCTCCCTGTGGATGAGCCTCCAGGGTGGGTGAGGAGTCATGCATGGCAGGGGCCCCGAGGGCAGTGGGAGGACAGAGGACAGGAGGTAAGCAGAAGGGTGCTGCTGAGGGGCGGCCTACCCCCAGAGACCCTAGGTCCAGGCCAAATGGGAGCGTTCCAGGGGATTTGGGAGACACCGCGGGATGGTGCCCGGCCTCATGCCGGGTGCATCGGGGTTTCTCCTTCCATTAGCTCACGTCACTGTCCCACTTTGTCCCCCTGTTCTACTGGCGGGAAGATCAAAGCTCAATGAGGACACCTCCATGACTCCAGAGTCTGTAGTGAGGGGCAGACGCAAAGTTGGCCTCACTTGAAAGCCCGGTTGCGCGTGCGCGTGCATCCACACCCCAGCTGCTCGAGGAAGGGCCTGGTGGGTCTGGCCAGCAGGTGGCACTAGAGTCTCCTTCATGTGACACCGGCTTTCCCAGTCCTGTGCGGCCTGTACCCCGTCCAAGGACAGGGTTGTGATGTGTTGGGGGAGAAGCATTAGCCCGGCGTGTGTGGAGGGAGCGAAGGCGAGGTGTGCGTCATGTGCTGGGTATAGTCATTAACCCAGAGCACCCCAAGCTCTTTCCCACACTAGGCATTTCCTTTTAGAGCATTCCCTTCCCAGGGGCCGGGTGAGGGCTCCTTGGCTTTACCTCCAGTACCTGGCATGGGCTCGACACCTGCTACATGCTTTAGAAGATGTGCACGGTTAAGTACGGCCCCGATTCTCCTGCTCAGTTCCAACTGCAGCCCTCCTATCCTGCTTTACCCAAAATTTCTTGAAACAGCACAGAAATCACAACTCCTGCCTCTGGCAAGCCACCTGCCTGCCTTACTGTGCGAGACATAAAAGTCTTTGCTAGCCGGTATGCGTGGACCGAGGAGGGGCCGTTGGGGCTCAGAGAAGTGCCAGGTTCCCGGGACCGCACGTCTTGGTTTCCATCTCATCGCGTACAAGACAACAACGTGCCCCAATTTCTCTGTTCAACCCGTTTGATCGGAACACTGTATTTCTGTGAAAACGCAATTATTGAAAACCGCCACGCGCCAGAAAAAGAATGTCCTCCAGGCCTTGTCCCTGCTCCTGGGAGGCCCGGCCCCTCTGGCCACCCATCCCCAAGCTGTCTCATGCTTACAGCCTTCCCTGGGGGCACCTCCCTGACTGCCATGCTCTCGTCGTTCTGGAGAGACGCCCCAGGAACAGGCCCAGGCGGGGCTCCACCCCTCCGTCCACCCGCGTTACACCCTCAGGCCCAGAGCTGTGCCAACCAAGGCTGCCCAGCCTCGCTCTGGCTTCCAAGTCCATGAGTCTCAGGGCTCGGGCCTGCTGAGCAGATAAAGAGGATGCTTTCAGTCCCATCCCAGGCCCTGGAACACTCTGACATTCCTCCTGCAGGTCGGAGGGAATCGTGTGGTCAGGATCTTAATAGCCTGGAGGATTGACGTGGCCCAGCCCTGTGGTCTGTGGCCCAGCCTGCTGGGTCATGCTCCAGTTACCGCCCAGTTGGCTGCCAGGGACACTGCCCAGAAGGAGACGGTGTGGAGAGAAAGAGAAGACTGAGGCCCAGAGAGAGAGAGAGAATGTGCGTACACAAATGCGTGTGTGCGCGTGCTTTAAATCTTCCCTCTCAAGGCACCCTAAACACTAACCTCAGAAGTGCCGGCTCCTGGGTCTTTCCTAATACAGCTCTTTAGAATTTTACAAATTGCTTTCTGAAGGTCAGATGAGACATTCTTCAGGAGAATTTTTGAGGAGGAAAAAAAGCTATAAAAATAGACAAAAAGTCCAGCCTGAGCAGTTAGCAGCCCTGGGACTAGCCAGTCCTTGCTTGGAGCTCTGGCCTGCATCCTGCCCAAGCTGGTTCAGAGGCTTGTCACTACGCTCACACTAGGCCAGGAGCTCCCGTGGTCCCCTCACTAGGAGGGGGCAGCTGGGATAAGACCCTCCTACGGCCACTCAACTTGGGGTTCCAGCCCAGCTCCCCCTTCCTACGCTGGGCTCCTGGCTGGCCCACGATGCCCCACGGGGAGCAGCGAAGGACAAGACTGCAACCAGATGGATTCGTGTGTGCAGCAGTGACGGCCCCAACCACACAGCCCTGCAGGAGCCTGCGTCTCGTCACCCACCTGAGGGCCCAACCACTCCACTAGCCGCACAGTCAGAAGTGGCAGAGCCAGAACAGCAAAGTCACCCCAAGGAACCTCCGTGTTGGCTTTGCGGTGCCCCTGAGGCAGAGAAACAGCGTGGCTAGTGAGCATCCTCACTGCGACTTTTTCTGAGCATCGACTACATGCTGGCTGGCGCTGGGCTGGACGCCTGGAGCTCGTTACCACTAATCCTCACTAATCCTCAAGGCCTCACCGAGTAGGTGTTGCAGACAGACAGAGGGCCCCTGGGTGGCCAAGCCACCTGGAATCCCTGCTCCAGTTCTTCCCCTTTCTACGCAGCCTCTCAGGCCATGCCGGGACCTGGACACCAGGGGTATCACCCACCTTCCCTTCATCCATAAAAACCGTCTACCCACACCCCAGCGGGGCAGAACCCAGCGTGAGTGTTACGAGGGGGCTTTGCCCCACCATCACCGCTCAGCACCCATGACCCTGAGATGTCACCACCCCCCTTGCAGCTGGAGTGTGGAGGTCCTAAGAAGTCAAGAGACCAGGAATGGACTGACCGGGAAGGCAAACCCAAGGGAACCCGACTCCAAGCTGGCATCTTCCCAGGAGGATGCCCCAGCATCCCCACGCGGCTCCAGAACAGTCAGCGGGGCTGGTGCACCAGGAGTTGGGGCAGACTCCGCCCAGCTCTCTGCTCTGCTCTCACCACCGGGGGGGGGGGGGGGGGGGGTGCTGGCGAGCAGGACCGGGCATTAATCTTGGCCAGCTTCCTGGGAGGGGTGGCTTGGAGCCTCATCCTCCCCCTCGAGCCTGAATCCCAGTCCTGACTCACAGAAAGTGACGAGTCCCCTCGATATCAGGCCTGGGGACAGGGGTGGGGACAGATGGAGCCCTGGAGCACCAAGCCCCTAGTGAGCACCACGCGGGTCCAGGTTCCCTGCCGAAACACTTCGCATCCTGGCTGGAAGCCCTTCGCCTCCCCTGTCCACAGGCCTACTTCAGTCCTGCCCCCCATGTCCCCCCCCCCCACCTAACTCAGCTCTTCCCTCCCCTTCTCTCTAGCATCGCCTACTGCAGGCACCCCACGCCCCCCACCCCGGCCAGCTGGGGGCCCTGCTGCACCCGGGGGCCTCTGCTGTTCTGGCCTGTGCTCCTACTGGGCTCAGTGCAGGGGATGGGGGGCCTTTGTGGGCCCACTGTGCGCCCGGGCTCCCGCACACGGTATGCCCGCGGTTCCCAAACAAGTAGATGACTTTCTCCAGCACTGAGAAGCAGAGCCTTCCACGGCACACACCAAGACGCAGGGAGGAGCTGGGTCTGCCGATCTGGGCTGTGACCTCGGCACACAGCGCCCACCCTCAGCCCTTGGGCTCAGGGGGTGTGCAGACGCCTCAAGGGCAGCCACCTCCCACGTGGGTCTCGTGGCTGTGCATGAGTTACAAGTCCACGACCAGGGCCAGCCAGTCTTCCAGAGCCCTCAAACCCAGACTCAGACACAGGGTCACAACACGGAACAGCAGCCCAGCCTCAAACTGAGGACACAACTTTCCCAGCAGTCAGAGGACTGTCCCCACTGCCCTCCGGACCTCTGTGTGACCCACGAGGTCTCCGGAAGGCCGCACACCTGCAAACCCAGCTATGGAGGGGCCCCTCCCTAACTGGGCGCAGGGAGGACCTGAGCTGTGGGCTTTCCAGGCGGACGGACACACCCGCACTAGGGACGCAGAGCAGGCCCGCAGGGACAGCGAGGCCCGAGGATGTGCACGCCAACGCCGGGAAGGGCCCAAAGGGCCACCGGGGAGACGGGCTCTCAGAGCATCTCCCGTTCTGGCATCCAGCAAGCCGGAGGCCCGGCCAGAACCGCAGGCCAGGGTGGCCCCACCCCCCGAGGCAGAGGAAGCGGATGGCGAGGCCAGGGGCACCAGCCAAGGAGGCCCTGACCCCCGGCAGGAGCAGCAGACTGCAGGTCAAGAGGCCGAGTGGCGGTCAGCCTCGCTGGCTCGGAGCTTTCCAGGGGGCGGAGGGAGGGCTCACCCCTCCGTGCTCCGGAATCTGCCCCCCTGGAGAGCTCTTCCTGCAGCTACTGACCGGGCACCAAGCACAACTCGCTGAATAAACGTAGGGGCAGGGTGGCCTGGAGTGAGACCAGAGGGTCCTCCCCAGGCCCTGAGGAAGGGGCTTCCTGGACCCTCCGGCAGCCATCCCAGCGGCCTGGGAGGGAGGGACCTTACAGTGACATGACAACACACAGCTTCAGGTTTGGGACACAGAACGTGAACGGAATCCGGCTTCTAGGAGGTGGGGTCTGGGGGATGGCCTACTGACGACGCCCCGGCAACCACGTCAGCTCACCCAGAACCAGCACCACCCTCATCTGGGTCAGAGCATGTCCTGACACCTGCATCCTGCAGGTGAGGAAGCCAAGGCCCAGAGCGCTGCCCCGCGGCCCCATCTCATCCTGGGCAACCAGAGGCCTGAGGGCTCCTTCCACGCACAGGGCAGGCCCACCCACCTTGACGTCGCTCTGTGGCTCTACAGCCAGGCTGCTGGAGACTCGGAGTCCTCCAGTTGCCCCGGGGAGGGCACTGATCATGAACCGCCCTCCCTGGCCCGGAGCCGTGCCCCCTTCCCTGGAAGGCCGACGCAGGCAGACCGCGGTGGGGCCCGTGGCACTTACGTGTCTGCGGAGCGGCGGTAGTTCTTGGGGCACTCGAAGGCCAGGCAGCGGAAGCCCCCCTGGATGTTGAAGCAGGTCTCGTTGATGGAGCAATTGTGGATGCCGGTCACACACTCGTCGATGTCTGTGAGAGACCCCGAGGCGCCCAGTGAAGGCTGAGGCCGCCTGCGCATCCCCATCTGCAGACGGGAAGCCTCCCACCCGCAGGACCGCACCAGCTGTTTCACCCCCAGGATCTGTCAGTGTTTATAGAGTTTTCACTTATTATTCACAGTTCGTGGGATGAGGGTGACAAGAACGGCCCTGGAAGTACTTCGAGGAGTCCTGTCCTTTCTCCTAACGCTTCAATGGGCAATGCTATTATCGTCTCATTTTAGGGAGGAGCCCACAGAGGTTCGGTGACTCTCCTAAGGTCACACGTTCTGTAAGCGGCAGAGTCGAGCGCTGAACCCATGGGGGCTGGTGCCAGTCAGCACACCCTCCCCTCATGTGGGACTTGACACATCCCAGTGGGGACATAGCAGGAGCCACCAGTCTCGCAGTACAGGGGAGGGGACCGGGATTCTACGGTGTGCTCAGGCCCAGGGTTGGGGAAGCTGGGGGCACTGTCCCGAGAGGACCCAGGACAGCGGGAGCAGCCCCACGCTGGGGTCTGGGGGACGCCACCCAGCCTGGGAAGCATCTGTGAAGTGATGCCAGATGCCTCATCCTGGTGGCAAAAACAACACTCCTAATCTCAAAGGCCGAGGTTCAGGAATGTGTTTCTGCCGGGCTTGGCAGGACCCCAGGCTGTGGTGAGGGAGGCCAGCCAGGAGCAAGAAAGTCATCTCCTCCGCCAGAAAGGCGAAAACAAAGTGACTTCCATCCAGCGCTGTGGACGAGCGGAGTGGGTCCCTCCCAGGAAGGGCCACAGCTCCTGCCTGCCTTTGATCAAAGTCCCCTGCTTCACCACCAGGGTTGACAAGTGCAGACCCCAGGCCCTCAGGAGCCTCTGGGTCGACGGTCCTGTGTCGGGGGCTGGTGAGGAAGGGGCCGACAGACCCAGCCTCCGTGACTGAGCTCCTGGGGCCGTCCCCGGATCTGTCCCAGGCCCTTCATCCACATGAGTATCTACTCAGCACCCCCTCTCGCTTATCGAAGGGCTCAGTCACAGGGCCCGGGATGCCCCCCTAGAGTGCTGGGAGCGGGGTACAGGGGGCTGCCACTGGCCCCCTCGTTTAGCCCACACTGGAGCCAACCCACAGCCCCAGTAGGGCCCTCATGGCCTCAGAGCTCAGTACTACAGAGACTCAGGGCTGCCGCCCACCAGAACGCACCCATCCCCTGCCGGGGCCCTGCTCTGCCCCCAGCTCTCGGCAGGGCCTGGCTCCCAGCAAGGGCTTGTCGAGTGGGCGTGTGAAAGTTTGAACAAGCAGCTCCGTGCTGTGGAATGGGGTCTTCTGGGCACCAAGTTCCCACTTCCTCCTTGGCTGGCATCTCCCTAAAAGCTGTCATCCCCTGTCCTGGTCCCTGGGGGGCTGCCGAGGGCCTGGCTGGGGAGTCAGAACCCGCTGGAGACAGATGTGCCAGGTCTGGGAGACCAGGGGTGTGTGGGCCCCAGAACACATGTGGGATGCAGAGGCCTCCCCTTCCCCTCCCAGTTGCACCCTGTCTGTGGTGTGGCCCCTGGGTCAGGGAAGTGCAACCCCCCAGGCTGGGGGTTGCCCCAGCAACCCCCCAGGGGTTCCACAGTGCTCACCTTGGCAGTTGCGGCCATTGGGGGCCAGCCTGTATCCAGATGAAGGGCAGCTGCACTGGAAGCTTCCAGGGATGTTGATGCAGCGATAGGAGCAGATATGGCCACCAGTGGGCAGGGCGCACTCATCAATGTCTGTGACAGCAGAGCCCACCCTTAGTGTCCTGTGTGGACCCCGGCCGGGCTACATTCCCAACAGGGGGCCAGGTCGGGGCTTGGGAGGGTAGCCAAGTGGGGCACCTGGGACACGGGAAGCCTCAAAGTGCTGGGTGGCCTCGGAAGCCCTTACGCCAGAGAGGGGAAGGGCCTCGCCTAGGGTCATACAGCAAGTTCCTGGTGTGAAGTACGCACAGGTAGGGAAGGAGGCAGATTGGCGGCTGAGGGAGGGAAAGGCCCAGGGCTTCAGCAGAGCTCATAGGACACATGTGCTAATAAAAAATACACCTGCCAGGACAAGATAGGAACCCCAATAGCAGGTGTCCCTGAAGCACCTATGGTGCACCTGGCACCATACAAAGCTTTCCTGGTTTAATCCTCAGACAGCCTGGTGGGTCTGGAGTCAGCCCTCAGACAGCAAGGGAGGGATGGCCCCAGCCAAGGACAAGCAGAGTCCGGAGTCACGCGTGCGGCTGGCCCTGAGCCCCCACCTTGTGCCTGGGTCACCACCACCAGGCCCTATCATGTGCGGTTCCTGCCCCGTGCAGGTCAAGGTCCCGGCACCCACTTCGATCCCCAGTTACGTGTCTGCTATTTCCTAAACCTCACTCTCAATGACTTATTTGTATCCAAACAAATCTCAGTTGGACAGGGAAAAACCCTCACCACCCACCAGCCTGGAAGGGCGTTAAGTCGAAGGGGGTGGGTGATCTCCCCTCTGCCAAGTGGGGCGCCCTCACCTTCGCAGGTGACCCCGTCCACGTCGCTCAGCTGGTAGCCTCGCCGGCAGTAGCACTGGTAGGAGCCGTACACGTTGGCACACTCCTGGCTGCAAGGGCTGCTGTTGCATTCATTCACGTCTGAAAACGAGAGGGTCCCCGAGGTCACCGCCCAATGACCCAGCCTGGCCCCTGGCAGGGTTGTAAGCACAGCCCCTCCCTCAAGCTAACACAGAGGAAGGGCCAGAGGTCCTGAGGTCGGGGCTGGGGGCCTGTCTGTGGTCGCCCCACGGGAAAGAGCTTCCTTCTCAGTCCCCTGTGGTTGATGGATCTGGAACCTCTCATCAGGATGACAGTAGAGCCTCCGTCTCGGTTCCTCCAGCAGGGTCCTGTGGGGCCACTGCCAGGTCAGTTCTGGCCCTCAAATGGAGATCCGATCACGGCCCTACCCACTTCACCTCTGCAGAGAGGGAGGCCTGGGCAAGCAGCCGATGTGCCAATATTCCCAACACTCCAATACCTGGCGCTCGCCAGGCCACTCAGCAGCTCTGGGCTTCGGCTCGTCTGTTCCCTTCCCTTAGAGCAGGGATCAGCACACATCTGGCCCACCGCTTGGTTTTGTAAATAAAGTTTTATTGGCACATAGCCACGTTCACTCATTTAGCCCGATCTGTGGCTGTTCTTGCACTGCAGCCGCAGAGGTGAGTAGGTGCGACAGACTGCAGCCAGCAGAGCCAAAATCAGTTACTATGTGGCTTTTAGAGAATTTTTTTTTTTTTTTGCCAACCTCTGGCTTAGAAGGCCCTACTCACATGCATTTATGGCTAGCCCCTAGCAGGGCAGGAGGGGCGAGCAGCTGAGAATGTCCATTGGCCTCTCACCCAGTGTTTTATCCTGCTGCACCCCTGGTGCCCAGCCTGGCTGCCAGCTGCTCACCCGGTTCCCTGCTCACCTCTGACCCTGTGTGGCTTCTCGTCACAGCCTAGACACTCCCTGAAGGCAGGAACCACGTTCTCACTACACACCCTGTCGGGTGTGCTTTATAAATGCTTAGGGGAATGACAGGGCACAGCTGGCCAGGCCCTGGTTCTCTGTCCTCACTGTTGCCGCTAACGTAGATGTGAGTGTGTCCTTTCCAGTCACTTAGGAGTGACGAGGAACAGCATAAGCCATGAACGATTATAGCAAGAGCACCAGTGGTCTCCACAGCTGGCACTTTGTCTCAGCGCAGGTCACTGGGATGAGCTCTTCACAGGCTTCATCCTCATGCCTCCCAATAACATGGGTCCTGCCACCCCGACTGGGGTCCCAGATGAGGACACTGGGGCCCAGAAACACCGAGGTACTTCTTAACCCAAGCTAGGGTTTTGAACCCAAGCTCTAGGGAGACCGCCATCCCCCCATGCGTGAATCTGTTTCCTTGCTGATACGTGTGCATTGGGTCTGGTTCTTGGGGACAGATTCTAAACTCTTGGAGGGACCTTTGGGCCCAGGATCCCGTCATACTGTCCACCCTCCCGTCTGGGTGCATCTGGGCCTATCGGACTTTTGTGATCGTCCTGCCAAGTGTCCAGGGGGAGGGGATTGCTGAGGGCTGTCAAAGCTCTGACCTCAGAACCTCATCCCCGTAGAACATGTGACACCTGTTGAGCACCTACTGCATGCCAGGCCCTGTGCTGAATGCACGTGACGTCAGCTCAGTCCAACCCCAGAGGAGGCTGGTGCCGTGTGATCACCCGAAGACTCTGCTTGAACAACTCTGCCCAACCCCCTGCCCAGCGGCCAGAGAGACCCGACCGCACTTTAGCATTACGGCTTCTACCGGCCCGAGAGGGGTGCCTGGGATGATGACCTCAGACCCCTGAGAGGCCCGCCTGGGAAAGGTCAGCGTTGCCCAAAGATACTCAGCACTCCAGCCAACACCTGACTACACACCCTGGCCTCCCTTGTTTCTTGCAAGTATTTACTTTGGAAAACTTGCAAATGTAAAGCCTTTCTTTGTCCCTTTGAGATGTATCCTCTGCACCCAAGAGTCTTTCTCTAGGGACGCAGGCGCCATGCCTTGGAGATGTGATCATCAAGGAGGGTAGGCCCCGATCTCCCAGTCTCTGTGGGAGGGTAGGAGTCACTTAGCAGGTGCAGCCGGCCTAAACAGGCTGCGCCCCACTTGGCATCCTGCAGCACTTCCCCTCGGCTCGCCCCAGCATCTAAAAAGCCTCCTGCCTTTGGCTTCTGCATGGCTGAGATGGATTGACACTGACGTCTCTCTGCGACTGCAACGAGGAGGAAAACCCGACTTTCCAACTTGAAAATCTGACCTATCAACCCCATTTCTCCTGTTAGGACACAGAGGCAGCCACTCCCCATGGTCACGTGAATACAGGGTGGGAGGTCAGATGCCTCCAGATCGCACGCTCTTAGCCACAGCCCACACAGTCTCTTCGGGTTATTGATCCCCACGTGCGCGGCCCTGGGCACGTGCCACCAGGCACTCGGGGGCTGGGAGCGGCAGGTGAGGAGTCCTCGCTGACAAGCCAGCTTTTACAGGCGACTCCCCCACCAGGTGTCATGTAGTATGGCCTTGGAAAACAAACCCGAATCTGTCCCTACGTGTCTGCAGGTGGAGCGGTGGTTCCCCCCAGGAGAAGGGGGTCCTGGGCCCCCCCATCCCACCTGCACAGCCTCACCTTCACATGACCGGCCGTCTGCAGAGAGCCGGAAGCCCACGGTGCAGCTGCAGAAGTAGGAGCCTGGCGTGTTCTCGCACTTGTGGCCGCACAGGCGCCCGGGGTAGCGCCGACACTCATTGATGTCTGTAATGGGGCAGGCGGGCTGGCTCAGGGCAGCGCCCAACCCGCCGCAGTGCCCCCCACTGCCTCTGCTCGCCACCTCCATCCCCCACCTCCCATGGCCCCACCTTGGGCAGAGTGACCTGTCCCAAGCCCGTGGCAAGTCTGCGGGGGAGCCGGGGCCACACGCGGCCTCCCTGTCCACCTGCCCATTCTCTACCCCAAAGCCCCAAAAGGGGGGTCCGCTGGGGTCTGACACGGGGCTCTGGGGCAGTGGGCAGGGCAGCTGCCAGCCTTCCCGAGCAGCCTGGATTGGGGATGGCAGGTGCCGGCCAGCACGGCCTCTGTCCCTGATCCTGAAGGTCAGGCCACCATACCACCTTTGGTTCTTTTGTCGTGGGCTATACACCCAGCCCCCAGCCCTGGGGGTGAGCAGTGACTCTGGGAAATCCCTAATGCTTCTGGACATGTGTAGAGCAGGCTTACAGGTCTTGGGTCAAGCAGAGCACCTGCTGTACAGGTGGGAGGCAGCTCACACCTGGGGGCACAGCAGCAGGGCTGGAACCAGAAGGGGGGGCGTCCTGTGACATGGGATCTGTTCTCTGGGGCTGCCGTGCCAGGACTTCTCAGGTGAGGCACAGACTATGGTCACCCCAGGGGGGCCTGGCCTGCGGGGAAACCCACGTACCCACGCACGTCCTGCTGATGCCATCGAAATAGTATCCAGCCTTGCACTCACAACGGAAACTTCCAGGGGAGTTCACACACAGGTGCCCCGGCCCACAAGGCTCAGAGGGTGCCGCACACTCGTCCACATCTTGCAAAAGAGAAGGACACATTGAAAAACGTTTAGTGTGGGGTTCCCCCCTCCCCTCAAAGATGATAAGAAAGGAAGACAAGAAAGCAGCAAACTGAGATGTACACTGACAGCAGCATTATTTATTCTTCCGCATGTCACAGAGTGCCTACTGTGTGACCCAGATGCAGCCCCTACCCTCGGGAGCCTCCTGCTCCAGGTGGCCAGCAGTGGCCCTAGCTAAGGCAGGAAGTACCCAGTGACCAGAGGAGACGCTAGGGAAGTGCTCTGGGAGGCAGAGGGAGAAAGACTCCTTCCCTCTAGCAGGGATCTGGATCTAGCGGGAATCTGGATGGAAAGGAATGTAGCAGCAGGTGGGCAGAGGGAATGATGGAAACGCAGAAAACCACCCAGAGAGGAAAGGGCAGGGCTGCAGGGCTCGTTTAAGGAGCAGCAAGGCCTATGTCATCTGAATTATAAGGTTTGTGAAGTTGGGGCCACCTCAGGGAACTAAATTCTAAGCAGAGAACTTCTATGCTCTGTCTCTCGCCAGTGGGGACTGTGGGCTGGGGGGCACAAGGGAGATTGCAGCTCAGGACACCTCAGACAGACTGAAAGGGACAAGGCGGGGGGCAGTGGTAGGCTGGCATCCTACTGCAATAGTCCAAGCAATGGATGATAAAGGTTTATGCTTGGAGATGAGCGATGGGATGGATGGACAGGTGGAAACAGCTTCGCTTTGGGGAACCTCCTCTCCCCATCCAGAGAGCAGTCAGAAAGGCTGATTTCAGATTGGTTTCCTTTTTTAATACCAACCAACACAGCGGGTTCCCTCCTCGTTGAGATGGTAGCCACGGCCACAGTTGGGCACGTTCTTCTGGCATGTGTAGGAGCCCTCCGTGTTGATGCATGTCTGCCCAACGGGGCACGGGGCACTGATACTTAGACACTCATTGATATCTACAGGGGGAAGACCGAGACAACGTGGTTAAACATGGAGGGCCTCTAAAACCCAACCACTGGATCTCCAAAAAACCCCACGTCCCCCCTCGCCGCAAAACCACACACAGAGGCACTATACGCGGCCTCCCAACTGGCTCCCGGATCTCGCCCGCACACACCAGTTTAAATACCACCTGCCTGGGCCACCTCCTTGCTCCTAAACCTTCTTTCCTTGCACCGGATCTGGGGCCGCCCACCTGCCTCCTCTCAGGCCTGCCCACAATCACGTGGCTATGTCCCTTCTGAATCCCACAGGACTCAATGTCTACACCACCGACTTGGCAATTGGGGCACCACCCTGTATTCACTCACTCCCACGCGGGGTGCATGCCGGGTTCAGGGAGACAGAGGTGGCTGCACCCTCACCCCTGCGAGGTTCTGGGCTCCTCCGACGCCGGCCCGGCCCCACCTGGCTTCAGCCTCACTCTGGCCAGTAGCTCCTGCAGCCAGGCTTGGGCCCTTACAGCATACCCACGGCTCCCGGGCAGGCCCCCCAGGCCCCATGTCTCACGGTCCCCACTTGGGAAGCCATGTGCCCCATCTCCCTGGGAAACACGTCTACAGCTCGAGTGCCACTTCCTCGAGACCCCTTCCTGCCTGGCCCCCGATCTGGGCCCCTCAGGCCCGAGCTGACCTGAGCCCACCTGGGAGGGGCTGCCGGCTCCACGTTCAGGGCACAGCACTCTCCCTCCGTGACCGCACCTGCCTGGGTGGGGCATTCACCTCTGCAGAGCACACGGCTAACGAGCACCAACCAGTGCACACACGAGGATAACCATTCGCTCCAGTTCCAATTCGTGGCACAAAACCACTCCTGGGCGGCTTAGTCGGTTAAGCGTCTGACTCTTGACTTCAGCCCAGGTCATGATCTCAGCGTCCTGGGATCGAGCCCCAACTCAGGCTCCACGCTCAGCAGGGCGGTCTGCTTGAGAGTCTCTCTCTCCCACTCCATCTGCCCTGCCCCCTGCTCAGGGTCTCCGCCTCCCTCTTTCTCTCTCAACCAACAATAACAAAAAACCACAGAGGCTGAACTTCTCACTAGGGGGAGACTTCTCAAAGGACTGTGCTTTTTTACAGTCCCCTTGCTCAGACACCTACAAGGCCTCTAGGGGACCAAGAGGAGCGAGAGATGGTACAAGGGCCTGAGCTGAAGTCGAAAACAAGGATCAGCTGTACCTCCCTCCCGGCCACACCCCACCCTCCTGGGACGGTCCGTGACCAGCCGCATCCCCTCCAGTCAGCCTTCTTGCACCGGTGCAGCACTTAACAGTTTACACGAGCCTTTCGGTTCTGCCTGCCGTCGCCTGCCACAGCTGGCCTACGAGTCAGGCAGGGCCAGGATTCTTTTTTTTTTTTTTAAGATTTTATTTATTTATTCATGAGAGACACAGAGAGAGAGAGAGGCAGAGACACAGGCAGAGGGAGAAGCAGGCTCCCTGCGGGGAGCCCAATGTGGGACTCGATCCCGGGTCTCCAGGATCACACCCTGGGCTGAAGGCGGCGCTAAACCACTGGGCCACCAGGGCTGCCCAGGGGCAGGATTCTTATCTGCATTTTATACACAAGGCAACTCCGCAAGCACGAGGGTGAGCTCAGGGCCCACTCAGCTCTAGAACCGTGAGTCCAGCCCTCAAATCAGGGGTCGGGAAGCTACAGCTGCCAGCCAAATCCAGCCCCGCCGCTGCCTGCTTTTGTCAATAAAGCTTTACTGGAAGCCAGCCACGCTCGTTCTTTTACATACTGTCTACAGCTGTTCTCACGAGCTGCGCCAGAGACCCTCTAGCACACGAGGCTGGTCCTATTTAGCCCTTTACAGAAAAAAACTTGTGTTGAGATTAAATACAGTATTTAGCAGCAATGGGACTGCCTTCCCTCTAAGCCTTGCACTCGCCTTTCAGGTCTACAGCTCCCAAACTCTGCCCCAGGACCTGTGAGTGTCCCAAGACAGAGTGGGCCACGTGCAGGAGGCCCCTGCTCTGGCCCTTTCTATTGTCCTAACACAGAAAGGAAGACGGTGGGCACCGATCAGAAAATCCGAAGAAACAGGAAAAAGAAAACCAACAAAGATGGGATCGCCTCAAGGACCTCAGCAACCAAACCTCAAGGTTCTAGAACATTCTATGTCTTCTAATAAGGAAAGAGTCCTCTGCCTTCTCAGAGGCTGGCCATCCTGGTGTGGGCCCCCCTGGGCAGAGCTCTGCAGCTGCCGGGCTGGCTGCTGGTGGCTGGAGGGGAACAAGCAGGCCTGTGGGGCACCAGGGGTGGTCCTGGAAATTCCAGGAAGATGGATTTGGCTACCTGTGAGGTCAGAGCTTCCCAGCACATCACACTGTTCTGGGGGGGAGTGAGGGTGCCGTTGGCAGAGGTGTGCAAGCAGAAGACCAGGATGCACACAGGAGGGGAAGTGAAACCAGCCTTCTATCTTGACACTGTCTCCTCATAAAGAAGTATTTGGGATGAGGCAGTTTATTTTTAAAAAGACGATGTAAAGGTACTGGCATAAAATGATGTCGAAGTATGTTGCTAAAGGATGAGAGGAAACAAGTGGCAGATCAGTCTGGTCCCATTTTCTTTTCTTTTTTTTTTAAAGATTGTATTTATTCATGAGAGACACAGAGAGGGAGGCAGAGACACAGGCAGAGGGAGAAGCAGGCTCCCTACGGGGAGCCCAATGCAGGACTCGATCCCAGGACCCCATGATCATGCCCTGAGCCAAAGGTAGACGCTCGATTGCTGAGCCTCCCAGGCATCCCAGTCTGGTCCCATAGTCATCAGAAACAAAGTTTTGGGAGAGCAGGAGCCCAGAAGAGCACAGACACTGCTTAGCAAGAAACTTATCCATTCTGCACTTTGGGTTTTGCTTGCACTTTTGTAAATATAGAGATATATATATAACTTTTAAAAAAATTTAAAGAAAGAATCCTGAGTTTGGTTGCAAGGACTATGGGTGATGTAAGGGGGGCTGCCCCAGGGCTAAGACGAGGGGCACCTCATGGCTGGTTTGCAGACCCTCCAAATAACCAGATACTGGCAGGGGGTGAGGGGGGCTTCTTCGGGGGCTTTGCTCAGCTCTCCCAGGCTCTCCCTGCATCTAGGGGAGGACACCGAGGGGACTGTCCCCTCCCACTACATATCTCACACCTTGCCCCTGCACAGTCTGCACCCCTGTGGAGGGGGAGGTGGGGGGGCACGCCGGGACTTGCAAATGTTCCCTCTTTGTGGAAATCTGGGCTGATTTTTGCCATGAGTCAGGGTTTCCGTCCCGAACAGATGCCAGCCTCCTCGGTGGAGCCCCCTCCAAGGCCCTACAAGTCTGGGCAGGGCCCTCCTCCCTGCTGGCCCCAGGGAGGGCCGTCAGCCTCCTGCTCACTGGTCCCCTGAGCTGGGTGACGACAGCCCCGCCAGCAGGAAGCTGGCCACGGACCAACCCCAGCTGAGCAGAGCTCCCCCCATGGCTCCGACGCCTCCCCACCCTCCCCGCACCGGGTGACAGGGGAGCTTTAAAGACGAAGGCCGGGGTAGGGTTCCCAGGAGACCCCTGTCCAAGTGGGGGGGTCACTGTTCTATTTGTCTTTTTTTTTTTTTTCTACTTGTCTTTAGCCCAGGGTGGTTAAAAAATAAAATAATAATAAAAAAAAAAAACGAGTCCAAACTACCATTTCAAATCAAAAATCGATACAGAGGGACACCCAGGTGGCTCAGTGGTTGAGCATCTGCTTTCAGCTCAGGGCGTGATCCTGGGGTCCCGGGATCGAGTCCCACGTCGGGCTCCCTGCATGGAGCCTGCTTCTCCCTCTGCCTGTGTCTCTGCCTCTTTCTATGTCTCTCATGAATAAATAAATAAAATCTTTACAACAAAAAAAATCAATACCGATTTCTCTGAGAGTGGATGGGCTGGACCTAAGACAGAAGCCCCCCATCCCACGGTGACGGAGCTGCCAACCTCTTGCGGGGGGCGGGTAACGGGGCAGCGCCAGGGAGGCTGGGTTCTAACTGGTGGCGTCTGCCGCTCTCAGGACCTAGAAGCTTCTGCTGAGCAGAGGCCAAGGCCAGGCCGGCCGATCTGGACGCAAATGCCCACGGCAAACGGTGACGGAGCAGGTGGCTAGCCGGGGTGAGTCCAGGAGGAAGAGGAGCCACCTGCTGGGTGCAGCACAGGCACCGTGTCCGCCCGGCTCCCCGCCCTCCCACGATGCTTCTCCAAGCCAAGCGTCTGACTGCGCCTCCCGCGTCCACTAATCTACAGCGTCCACACCGGATTCTCCTTCATTCCACATCAGTCTTCCTCTGACACCAACACAGTAGTTGTGTGTGTTTGTGGGGAGACATAACATCTGCCATCTTTGCAATTTTTAACAGTGCAGACAGGTGGCATCAACTACGTTCACGCTGTCGAGCGACCATCCCCACCATCCAACCAGGCCGCGTTTGTATTTTCCGGGCTGACACCCGGCCCCGTAGACACCGGCTCCCCGCGCCCCTGCCCCAGCCCCCCCCAGCTCCGCCCCTTCTCCGCGCCACCTCTGGGAACCTGACTACTAATACGGAGTATTCGTCACAGCCAATATCCCAGGCACTTCATAACCATCTAATTCAATCCTTGCCTCAAGCCTCGCAGGCAGATATGATTATTCCCATTTTATAAAGACAGAAATTCAGGGTCAGAGGAAGGAAGTAAATGGCTTTACGTCATTCAGTTCTAAACCAGGTGTCTCTGGGACACCCAGGTGGCTCAGCGGTTGGGGGTCCGCCTTTGGCTCAGGTCCTGGGATCAAGTCCCGCATTGGGCTCCCCGCAGGGAGCCTGCTTCTCCCTCTGCCTGTGTCTCTGCCTCTCTCTCTGTCTCTCTCATGAATTTAAAAAAGAAAAAAAAATCTTAAACCAGGTGTCTGTGACTCTAAAATTGAATTCCTAATTCTAGCACTGGGGCGACTCCAGCCTCTCTCCCTGTGTCTATATATGAAGTTTCACGGGGACACAGCACGGCCCATTCGTTCACATATCTGTGGCCGATTTCCACCTTCAAAAGCAGAGCCGAGTAGCCGCAACAGAGACCAGATGGCCCACGCAGCCTAAATATTTGCTCCCCGGCCCCTTAGGGGGTACGCCTGGTGATCTCTGCTCGGCAGCCCCCCACGTTCTAGAGACGTGGCCTAGCACCGGAGCGTCTGCCCTGCCTGGGGGACCCTGGCAGCCCTGGCGAGTGTCTTACCAATACAGTTGCCTAGAGCATCTTGTATAAAGCCACTCTTGCACTGTAGCTTGGGTCTGCAGCGGAAGGATCCCAGAGTATTCTGACAGATAAAATCGGGGAGGCAGTTATGAATACCACTCTCACACTCGTCAATATCTGGTACATCATAAAAAAAGGAAATTGTTAGCAAGAGTCCTGCCAGAAGCATCTCACAACATTTAAAAATCACAAGAAAGTTTTCTTCTTTCAATGCTCATTACTCAGACTACAATCCAAAACATTCCAATAGAGAAGTCTCAATTAAAAAAAAAAAAAAAAGAGCCTTAGTTAGCCAAATAAGTGCTCACAATGCTAAAGATTGAAAACTCTTTTTTTTTTTCTTTATTCCCCCAAGGCTCTTATGAGGCATACTTTCTGTTACATAATAAATAACCCAGGCATTTTCCTGGCAGTATATGGGATTTTTTTTTTTTTTTTTTGCACTTTAGGTTAAGTGCATGTTTAGTTTAGATAATAAGCAATGATCTTAGTGGCAATAAACACGGTACCTATAAACTTATTCATTCTGAAATTGTCACAACTTTTCAAATGTGAACAATGGGGATTGTCATGATCAGACATGTTGGCTGCTCTTCCCCTGAAGTTCGTGGCTGTCAAATGTTCAAAAGTGTATACTCAGCTGGCTGGGTCCCTGGGTTCTCAGGGCCCAAGCCGCCCAGCGAGGGTGGAGCAAAGTGAGCCTGCCCAAAGGCCCTCAGATGTCAGGAGGGTGTGCCTGGCTTTTGAGCTACCCTCGTAACTCAACCAGAATGTTCACACAAGTGGTTTTGTCATTCTGAAGGGCTGGAAACCCTCAGAAGAAAACTATGTTCTAATAGATCCTCATCAAAGCCTTATCTGCCAAATAACATCTATGGCTTGGCGGGGAAAAGGCCAGCAGCCAGAAATGTCATGTTTTTATGCAGCGGAAGAGACTATGCTTTGAACTTCAAGGAAGCCTGGAGTCAGATGGAAGGCAGCTGTTGTATAAAAAAAAAAAAAAAAAAAAAAAATTTTTTTTTTTTTTTTGCGGGGTGGGTAGAAAGTCCATGTGAGCACCTGGAATTCACCTCTGCTCTTGTTTTGAAATGATCCTGCCCTGAACCTTTTCAGAAGTGCAAACTCACCCTTGTCATTAACTCAACCTTACAGTAAAGAAGGTAAATCTTTATTAACAATATAGCTGGCCAGTGCCCCCCTAGGAAGTCCTGGGGCCCTGGGGCACCAAGGGAGCCCAGAGCCCCGGGAGCCGGTGCTGCCTTTAGCAGCACATCCTATCTACTCCTGGGGAGCTGAGGTGTGTAGGCTCAGAGCATGTTATACCTTTGCAGTCATTGTCCTCTGTGAGTTCATAGCCAGTCCCACAGCTGCTGTCTCTCTGGCAGCGGAAAGAGCCCACCGTATTGACACAGGACTCTCCGAGCCGGCAATTGTGGTTGCCCGTGATGCATTCATTGATATCTAGGAGAGACAGAGGCAAAGCAGGAGTAACCAGCCAGAACCACGGCCCCCCTGAGCTTTAACAAAAGGAATGTACCAGAAGGCATGGGGCAACTGGGTCCTAGCATCTGTGAAGTGCCCTCCACCACGTGCATATTCGGGATGGAAGGGGTACTGGGCACTCATTACCAATGGCATCCTCCCCCTGCTACGTCTCAGATCTATTGCTCCCTCTAAGCACCTGCTAAACACATGCCAGGCCCCGAACTGGAGTCATGTGATCATTAAGGCCTCCCCCAGGAGAGGCGATCACCTGCTTCCATCTCTCCCACCTCAAGAGGGGCTGAGGGACTTGCTGAGGGCCAGAGCCTGGTCAGACCCCAAAGCCAACCCTCTTTCCCGACACTGAATTCATATGTTCCTGGAGGAGAGCCGTGGCTGGGCGCCATGCACTGTAGACTCCAGGGAATGCTGTTCTTCACCCACAGATGGGGCCCCAACGTGCGCCAAGTGGGGCCTGCCCAGGTGTCAATCGGAGGCCGAGGCTCCCAGTGCGGCTGTGTGCCGTCGTGCTGTCGCTGGAGCTCGGTCACCATTACCTTCACAGGACACACTGTCAGGCAGCAGCTGGTAGCCCACGAAGCAAGAGCACACGACCTCCTCGCCCGTGTCCCGGCACTGCTGCTTGCAGGGCCCCCCGCCTGGGATCAGAGCAAATCAGAGCGAATGTCAGCCAGGAGCCCAACGCACACCAGAGACCTTCTGGGTTTCCGGTTCTGTTTGGACTGGGCCAGAGCAAACGCACTCAGGGTGGACAACATACAAAGGCAGGCTCCCCATCGTGGAGCCCAGCCTCTCTGGCCTCGTACCCCCTCCCCTCTCACGGGAGACCCCCAGGATCCGGCCCTGGGCAACCCCAGGGCTGCTGCTTCAGGTCTGAGCCCTGGTCCAACTAGTTGGCGGCATGCAGGGCCATCCCCGCCGGTTGTAGTGAGGCTGGGAGGGACAAGGCGGAGAAGCCAGTGATGCTGATGGCTTCGTGCTCAGCACAAACACGGAGCGGCAGTCCCGTGAGGACCCCCTCCCTGCAGAGGTGAGCTGTGATGGCCTCCTGGGTGGCCCTGCTACCTCCCCTCCACCCACGCTTCCCACGGGGCAGCTGAGTGATGCTCAAAGAGCAGATCTCCCCGGGACAAACCTCCACCAGCTAGAGCCGCTACCACAGTTCTGACCACTGCCCGGGGCCCAATGACCCCGGCCCGCCTCCCCAGCCTCTCCCTCCGCCCCCACCGCACCCCTCCCTGCACCATGGCCCACCAGCTGCGGTGGGTCTGGGTGTGCACATCTCTGCTCCTGCTGCCCAAATCTCCGTCCACCCTCACTCATTGCAAACCAGCTACTTCCTCCCCCAGGAAGACCCTCCCACCCACCCCCACACCCCCAAGGAGCTTTCTGGGCTCTCTGCCCTCCACCAGTCCCACCCCTACCCCCTACCCCGCCCCTGTGCCAACTGTCCCTGTTCGTTGACCACATCGTTTTGTGATTACACTGGCTCCCAATTAACGCTCCAACCACAGGCAGGGCAAGGCTCCGAATGAAGCTTCGGAGACGACTTGCCAGTCTAGACATGTGGGAATGCTCCGGGAAAGAGAAATAAAGTTTTATCATCTGAAAAACAAATCTGCCAGGCCCGTTGTGCTCACTTTACGTTTGCAAACGTCTCCCTTGCGAGACACGGATACGTGGACATGGTCTCTGGCACTGCCAGGGCTCCAGGACACAAAGTCAAGCAATACTCACCCCTCCCCAGATGGTCCCCCTCCCCGGAGCCCGTGTTTAGGGGGGTGCCGTAGTGGGGAGGCTTGTGTTGCCCGCTTCCCGCATGGCCTCCTCCCTGTGCACCCACCAGTCCCCGGCTTGGAGGGAAGAAGGAGATGGGGAGCCCAGGAGTGCCGGGGGTGGGGTGGGGCAGAGGGACCTCAGTGGACTCCAAGCCAAAGGGCTCTTCCCAGGAGAACCCGAGTGAAACGAGAGGTCAAGCTCCCAGTGGGATTAGTGCCACGTCCCCTGGAGTGGGGGACGGGTACCAGAGCCTCACCTCTGCAGCGGTCATTCAGGTACGGGTCCTCCTGTTCCTCCTCGATCTCCGAAATCTTGGCTGAGGGGAAAGAGGGGCAAAAGGGACATTTACCCAAACGCGGTGTCTCATCTCGTCTCTGTAGAAACCCGGAATAAATACTCCCCCTCCTTATAAATAGCAGGCAGTCGTGCCCATTTGGGGAGCTCGGTGCCCAAACAGCATGGGGGTCAGGCAACCCGCCTCACTTGCCTATTTCAGCAAATGCAGCCACGGCCCCCAGACCTTCAACGGTGCACCTGGTAAAGGCTTGTTGTCATGGGTTGAATGGGGTCTCCCCCCACGAAGATGTTGCAGCTCTAACCCCCAGCACCTGTGGCTGTGACCCTCCCCTGGGGCAGAGTGTTTGCAGAGGATGGAGCTAAGGGGCATTAGGGTGGGGTCCGAGAGGCCGTGTCTGTGTCCTTAGAGAAAGAGGAGGGATGCCTGGGTGGCTCAGCGGCTGCCTTCAGCTCAGGGTGTGACCCTGGGGTCCCGGGATCGAGTCCCACACCAGGGTCCCCGCAGGGAGCCTGCTTCTCCCTCTGCCTGTGTCTCTGCCTCTCTCTCTGTGTCTCTCATGAATAAACGAAATCTTTAAAAATAAAAAAATAAAAATAAAAGAAAGGGGAAACACACACGGAGGAGCAATGACGTGAAGACAGGCAGGAGATGCACCAGCCAAGGAGCACACGAGGCCACCAGAAGCCGGGAGAGCCCAGCCTGGATCTGCGGCCTCAGAGGGATGTAGCCCTGCCAGCACCTTGATCGGGGGCATCTGGCCTCCAGACCAGGAGACAGAACATTTCTGTTGCTTCAGCTCCTCCCACACCAACCCCAGTCTGCGGAGTCCCAGGAAATCCACTGCAAAGTAGCCGGGCATCAGCAGGGACTCACTGGGTGCACTCGGACAGGGGCCCGAGCTCTGCTCTGCAGGCCGAGCACTTGGCAGAGCCTTCAACAGGGCACCGGGAGACGGTGAGGGCGCGGGGCGCAGTGGGGTACCCTGATGTGATCTAATAGCATGGATTTCCACTTTAGTTCTGGGGGAAGAGAACTAGTCCCTTCGGCTCACATACAGCCAAGGGTGGGAGGGATCCCTACAAATCCCTGAAAGCCGTGCCCTGGGAAGTGGAAGACCCTTCTGCAAGCGAAGGTGACGGAGATCACAAGTCAGTCACGAGCTGACAGCAGGATGCGACAGCCCTGGGTGGGAAAGCGTAAATCAGAGCGCACCCCGATGAAGAAAAACAAGGAAAGGAAAGACGACCTAATGGAAACCATGGAAACAATATTCCTCCCAGTGTCACGTCCTCTTCCCTCTGCTTTCTGTATCTTCAGTGAGAGATAACACACCCACACCAGAGAAATAAACATCGTGAAGAAGAAACATTAGCAATTCTGCTATAAAATTCAATAGGGCAGGGACCCCTGGGTGGCTCAGCGGTTAGCGTCTGCCTTAGGCTCAGGACGTGATCCTGGGGTCCTGGGATCGAGTCCCGCGTGGGGAACCTGCTTCTCCCTCTGCCCGTGTCTCTGCCTCTCTCTCTCTGTGTCTCTCATGAATAAAACCTTTAAAAATATTCAATGGGAAGTAACCTATATACATGATGTACAAGGCATTTTTTTTTCCGGACGTTAAACTGCGGCCAGGGTCCCTACATAAACTTTTCACTTGGCCAGGAACTAAGCAAAAGACTTTGAGAGTGTGAATCAGCTCTCCCAGGTGAGGGGGCTGGGAGCGCCTTTGCTGAGGTTATTCAACTCGGGGACTCCTCACTCGCTTGAGGCATTATTCGGTCCAGGCCAAGGTGTAGGCCCTGGGGCGTCCACCAGGACGACCTGCAAGGAGCCACTTCTCGCCGGGGTGATGAGGCCATTGAGGTTTGCACGGTGTTCTGTGGGAGCCAGCAAGCCTGGCACAGACACCACCATTCCTGCCAGAAAGCAAATCTCGAACGTGGGCTTCCCCAGCCTCAATCTTCTGGTCTGTAGACTGGGGGTAACCAGTCGATGTCCCAGCACGGTTCCTCCCAAACTCTCTGCGGTAAAGGGACAGGGCTCTTTCCCCCATCTCAAGCCAATACTCTGATAACCTGTAATATAAATGCATTACCAGATAAACTAAGTAATGGAAATGGGCATCTTAGCCCCCATGTAGATGAAACAGACCTAAGTCATGCTATCATGTGCTTATACAAGTTCCTAAAGGTTTACACTGAATTCCTCTACTTATTTTGGCAGAGGCTGGCAGTGATCTGGGGACCCTCTGTGTGGCCCCGCAGCAGCACACAGTAGGCCCGCGATAAACCTTCCTGGAAGGAAGTCATGTCTGTGTCTGCGAGGAGGGAGGGCAGGGAGTACTCACAGGGCCTTTGAGAAAAGTCTGGTGCAAGAATTGAGGCAGATAGAAGACAGCAGAGAAATAAGACATCTGGAGCTGCAAAAAAGCTCAGAGATCGTTATGGAAACAAGACATAAATCAACAAAAATCCTCCCCAGTAACAGGAGAAATTCTCCACCAGGACGAACAGTTTGGGTTTGTTTAAAGTGAAAATGTCATCCCTGGTTTCAAAAGTCAAGGAGGGAGCCAGAATGTGGTTCCAGGCCTTCTTTCCGACTGAGATATCTGAAATCAGCCCCATGGCATCCATGAGAAATTAAAACCAAAGAGAGACTCGGTCCACTCGACCCAGGGCCACAAAGCCACGAGGGTCATGAGGCCGGGGTGACGGACAGTCCGACACAGGGAGAACGGGTCTGTGAGCTCCCCCGTCCAAAGGCCTTCCTGCCCTTTACCCACCACGGTGGGAAGCGGGAAAGGAGCCCAAAGTCACAGGGCAAGCCCGGGGCACGGCACATCCCACAAAGTTTCCAGGGTTATCTCCATTACAGCCCCGGAAACCACCACAGGAGAGGAAGAGGTTATTAGACAGACAAGAAGTTTCCTGAATCGTGTAACTGAGCCACGGCCAGAGGCTTCAGGATTCGTCTTGGCCCTGGACAGATGGAGGGTGGTGGACGCACAGCTGGGAGCACCCTTGAAGCTATTCTTGGGGTCACGCACCCCTTTGCTGAATAAGTACGAGTTGAAAGAGCACAGCCGGCTAGAAATGAGTGATACCCCTGCCCCGCTTCTTCTCGACACATCACTGGCACCAGACGGACAGAGAAAGGGCACTGGCCAGGGGGCGGAGGGCCAGCATCCTCCCTCCCGTGTGTGTCACCAAGTGACCTCAAGCACCAGGCCCTCATCCGCGGAATGGGAGCAACGCCAGCCACCACGCTGCCCGGGGCAGTGGGACAGACCGGGAAAGGTCGTGATGGCAAACATTCACAGAGTCACCCCAAACGCTTTATACTCACTCTCCCATATATGAAGCAGGACTATAATTATCCCTATTTCACAGATGAGGAAACTGAGGTCTGCATAAGTCAGTTTACCTAAAATGCATGTCGAGACAAGGACATGGACCCAGATTTGTCAGATCCCAGATCCCAAGCCTTCAGTCCCACCCCAGGGCCGTGGCTCTCAGAGGAGGAAAACAACATGAAACGGCTCCGAGAGCTAGAACCAGCCTCTGCTGAGTTAAGGCAACAAACAGTCAACGTGTGTACGCACGTTGTGTGGTCGTTCCCTTTACGTGTTAACTTGGTTGGGCCACAGTACCTAGATATTTGGTCAAACACCAGTCTGTGTTTACTGTGACAGTATTTTAGATGAGATTAGCATTTAAATCAACAGACTTTGAGTAAAGCCAATTGCCCTCCATGACATGGGTGGGCCTCGTCTAATCGGGTGAAGGCCTTCAGAGAAAGACTGATGTCCTCCAAGCAAGAAGGAATTCCGCCACCGGATGGCCCTTGGACTCATGCTGCAACAACAGCTCTCCCTTGGGTCTCTGGCCTTTTCGCCCAACCTGCAGGTTTCAGACTTGCCAGCCCCCACAAGTGAGCCAAGTCCTTAAAATAAATCTCTTCCTCTCTCTCCGTATATATACACATTCTCTTGTTTTTTTTAGGATAACCCCAACTAATGCACTGCCCGAAAGGGAGAAGAGGGGGAGATTACCTGCTTCTTGGAGGTCCCCAATGTCCCCGGGGGCGAAGTCTGCTGTCTCCTGGCCCTTGACGCAGCACGCCCGGAAGACCAGCCCACATTGGTAGCCGACCAGGAGTGTGTACTCGCAGCTCTGGCCCTGGGCCTGGGCCGCCCTCCCCAGCAGGCAGCAGTGGCAGCACCTCTGCAAACACAGGCAGACACCAGATGGAGAAGCCACACAACACAGCAGAGCCCCCTCGCCTCTCGGATCCCAATATCCACTCGGCCTGCACAACGACACTGCTGGGGCTTGGCTATCTCTTCCAAACGCTGGCAGCAAGCAGTTCAGCAGGCCAAGCCCGGGGCATCCTGACCCCCCAAACCTCACAGGTCCTGGTGCTGGGAGCAGCCTTCAAGGGGGTGCACCCAACATAGGCCCCACCACCAGCCTGTCCCACTCAACACCCCTGCTCTGTCTGGCTCATACACCTCCAGGAGGAATTAGCCATGACAGGGACCCTGTGAGGGTCACACAAGAGCCTCCTGCAGGTCCATTCCTTGTGTGGGGGCTAAGATTTCTCCCCCAGGCACAGAAAAATGAATATGCACTGGTCTCTTCCCTCCGATTCAGGTGGTTTGGGCAGCAAGAGGTGCATCGCACATTTGAAAAGCATGAGACCCTCAGGACAAGTCATCAAACGAGGGACAGAGTCACTGCCCAGAGTCACTGTCCGTCACCTGGACCCCCAGTGATCCTGAAAGTGATGCCTGAGTTCTGCGGACGGCATTTAGCCTGATTTATGAAAAGCCCCATTTCAGTCCTTACTGTCCTATCCTAGGAAAGGCACAGAACTTTCCAAAAGGTCCAGAGCGGGAGAGCCAGGAGGTGGGGCTCTGCTTGCATTTCCATGGGGGCTGATGGGGCTTCCATCCCGCCAGAAAGAGGGAGGCATCAGTTACCGCCTCCACCTTCCAGGGCATGAGTCATCCTTCCCGGAAACACAAATCACGCATCTGCCAAAGTGGCCTGTTTCTCCTCCCGTTAGAATATTCCAAGCCTTCTCTCCACCTCCCTTTTCTTTCTAGTCTGGGGACAAGGGCAGAGCTGTCTGGCAGGCAGACAGTGTCTGCAGAGTCCCGGCCCTGCCCGGGGAGGCAGCCGCTGGACGCTCTGGCTCCTGGCTCCGGGGTCCCCCTCTATGACCAGCCCTCCCTGCCCTCACCCCACCCAGCTCCCTCACACCAGAAGCCTCCTCCCATGGAGGCCCCCAAAGGCTGAGGGTGGGTGGAGGGGCTCCGGACCCTCAACTCCCCACGCAGAAGCCCCCTCCACCCTAGTCTGCATGAAGAGAGGATCCCCAGAAAGGATCCCACACCCTCCTCCAGGAATCCAGACTTCATTCCCATTCACGCTCCGTGAAATGGCTCCCCGGCCTTCCTGAGTGGGAATGGGAAATCTTCTTGGAAATGCACCTCCAGAGGCTCCCAGCTGACCAGGTTAAGTGTCCAGCTCCTCCTGGTTGGCCTTGTTTTTCTCTCTCAGTGGGTGGTGAGGGCGGGACAGCCCAGTGAATGTGTGGTTTGCAGGCCCCGGGAAGCGGTCAGGGGCTCCTCCTCCCTCACGCCAGGACGCAGACCTTCCACAGGGACAGAGGCCCTGAGGGGCCCGGCGCAGACCCAGGATGGACGACATCACCCTCGCAGAGCTTGCCTCCCCCTGGGCCCAACGACCCCACGCCGGGCCCTGCCTGGCCGGACGCCTGCCCTTGCCGGTCCTGACACTACCCCAGCCAGGCCACTGCGGAGCGTGGGCCTCTCTGAACCTCCCTCTTCTCTTCTAGGGCAGCTATGGAGGCCCCGTGTTATCAGAGGCCCCGGTGGACTGGGGGGTGGGAGGGGAACCATTCTGGGCTCCGGGTGGGCAGGAAAGCTGGAGGGCCTGCCTTGAACTTGGAGAGGCTCGGGTCCCCCCCCCCCCAGCCCAGGTAACCTCTGCCCTGATTTCAGCCTTCCTGCTGGAAGCCCAGGCACTGGAGGTCCTCGGGGCAAGGCTGGGTCCCTTCCTCCCCATCTCCCTGGTGTCATCCAGGGTTTTCTGACTAAACCGCAGGGGGCGGGGGACCAGACAGGCCCCTGGGCCCTCCTGCTGCTCTAAAGGACAGGCCTGGGCAGGCGTTGCAGGCAGGAGGGCAGCCAGGCCTCCCGCCGGGGACGGCACTGCTGGCGGCAGGACAGGTCTTCACCTTCACGAACGTAGCCTCCAGGCTGGTGTTGTCCCTGTGTGACGTGGCGCAGCTGTCTTGCTCGTTGGCCAGGTTGATGCCTGTGGCGCAGTGCAGCTCCTCCAGCTGGCTGTGGCAACACTGCTCCTGGACCATCCTGCGGGTGGAGGGCAGCCGGGCTGAGGGCAGGGCCCAGAAGGGTGGGGGTCCCGGGGGGGGCACACAGGGCCTGAGAGCAGTCGCCCCTCAGGGCGGGGGCCCTGTCATCTTTGGGCACCTCCCCTTCTCAACCGACTCCCACTTTCACACACACTAGGGCATACACTTTTGCACACACACACTCACTCCCGTGCATGCACACACACTCACTAGTGCACACACTCTCCCGTGCACACACACACACCAGTGCACTCCCACGCACATACACACACACTCGTGCACACACACATGCTCCGATATGCACACACTCCCATGCACTCACATACCTACACACAGTGCTCACACTAGCTTCCATGTACGTGCACACATACACACTGGAGCACATGCATGCTCCTATGTGCACACACACTCCCGTGCACTCACACACCTACACAGTGCTCACAGTCGTTCCCATGCACGTGCATACACACACACTGGTGCACACACACTCCCGTGTATTCACACACCTACACACAGTGTGGATACACTGTTGCACATGCTGCTCCTATGTGCACACACACTGCCATGCACTCACATCCCTACACACAGTGCACACACTCGCTCCCACACACACACACAGTAGTTGGCACACAGAAGGTGCTCAAGAAGCATACAATTAGAAAGACCGAAGCAGGTGGTGTCTGGGGGTAGAGTTGGGAGACCTCGATTCCTGTCTCTGAGTGTCGCCCTACAAAATGTTCCCACCCAGTTAAAAAGCCACCCCTTCCGATTGCTGACGCTGGACCAGACACCCTCACCCTTCACCACTCATCTGTCTCTTCCAGACTCAGAGGAAATTGCTCCCGAGGTGGAGGAGCTGCCTGAGGCCACGTGGCGAGGGATGGGGGCAACCGTGACGCGGGGCTGTCCACATGTCCTGGCCCTGCCGGGGGCTCCGGAAAGAAAGTCCTCGCAAACTAGAGGACGCCCGAGAGTAAAGGCTCGTGTCAGCAGAAGGACCATCACCTGCCAGAATTGGCTCCTTGGACACGGCTCCGGGCAGGGCGGGCTGGGCCACGGCAGGTGAGCGGGCAGGAGGTGCGTGTGAGGCCCAGGTACGGCTCCCACCAGACCCACGCCAACATCAGCAAGGGTGGGACGAGCCGCCCAACCACGCCACTCCAGAGAGAATGGGGTACCCAGCCTCGCTGTGCTGCTGACCAGCCAGGCTCCCCTGCCTGGGGGAGCAGCAGTCTCCCAGCCGGTCCTACCCCCACCTCCACCCTGCGGGGCTGGAGCTCTGCACCTGGCCTCCCATGTGCTTCCAGAACCACCTGGGGCTCCGGGATGGGCTCGCCTATGCTTGTGATACCACAAACTGCATTCGTGCTTTTTGGTGAATTTACAAATAATAGGTATACCACCAGAATGCCAGCAACAGCATCCAGACGGGCATCTGTCTACGCATGTTCAAAGACAGTGGCTGCACAGAAAAGCAGAGTTAGGGAGGATCGGAAGGCTCAGGCACTGTTGTTGGGAGTGGCCTCCATACAAAGCACTAGGGTAGCGCCTTGAAATATTAAATACACAACTGCCATGTGATCCAGTGATCCCACTCGTTAGTAAACAGCCAAAGGAGCTGAAACCAAGAACTCGAGATAGTTGCACACGCACATTCACAGCAGCATCATTCACAACAGCCAAAAGACGGAAGCAACCCCATGTCCACTGAGCAATGAGCACTGAGCCGAATGCAGTCCGTCCCTACGGTGGCGCACGACTCAGCCTGAACCAGCGAGGAGATCCTGCACCTGCCACCACATGCATGGACCCCGAGAACATCATCCTCAGTGAAATAAGCCAGTAACGAGAGGACAAACGCCGTATGTGTGCACTTGGGTGAGGAACCCAGAGTCCTCAAAATCACAGAGACAGAAGAGAATGGGGGTGGCCGGGTGCTGGGATGGAGGTTTGGTTTGGGAAGATGAAAACCTTCTGGAGATGGGTGGCAGCGAGGGCTGGCCTGAGTGTGCTGAACCACATGCCTAAAACCACTTCAGATGCTCAGTTATGTTATGTGTATCTCACTGCAATGAAAAGAAATTTGACTGCGTCCCTGCTGTGTGCCAGGCCCACGCCGAGGCTTCGGGGACCCGGAGTGGTGTCACCTGGTGGAGAACAGCCTCCTGCACCGAGGGGCTCCAGTGGCCGCGGCTCCTAGGCCCTGTCCCAGGGTGGCCAGTGGCAGGAGGAGCCTGGCGCGGGGCATCTGCACAGCGGCATCCAGATCCCCAGCCTCTCTGAGCTGCCAGCCACTCGGAGCAGCGACCTGGCCTGAAATCCCACCTGGCTCACTTGCTGGTCTCCTTCAAGCTCTGCCTCCAATGTGCCGCCTCCGTGAGGCCTTCCCAACCACTCAGTCTACAATCGTCAGCCTGCCCCAACCAGGAAGAGACCCTGCCTCAACCAGGAGGAGACCCTGCCTATCGTACCCGTTTTTCCTTTCCTACGACACAGGACACCTCCTCACACACCATATAATTAACTTATTACTTTATCATCTGTGTCCTCTCTGGAAGAAATTTTGTCTTTTCTGTTCCCCAATTTATCCCCATCTCCTGGAGCACAGTGCCTGGCACCTAGCAGGTGCAGATGTTTGTGAGAGTAAGAAACGAAGGCATCGGGTGCGTTAGTTGTGTTGAAAAACCTCAGCCTTGGATTCAGTGCGTATTCAAATTCCTCTGAGAGGTCGGTGGGCTACATTCAGCCCGAGGTTTTAGGCAACTTAACATTTATTTTATTTTATTTTATTTTTAAGATTTTATTTATTTATTCATGAGAGAAGGCAGAGATATAGGCAGAGGGAGAAGCAGGATCCCGCAGGAAGCCTGATGTGGGACACGATCCCAGGACCCCGGGATCACGCCCTGAGCCAAAGGCAGACGCTCAACCACTGAGCCACCCAAGCATCCCACAACTTTACATTTAGATACTGAGGAACGTTGGCCCTTAGTTCAGGGCAGGGTGCAAGGTGACATGCGCCTTGGGGAAGCATCAGAGCAGCTGTCTCCTGCCTCCCCCCAAGTGTGTCTCCTGTTAGAGGCTCCAGCAGAAGCTGAAGGCGCTCGGCCAGAGCCCACGGATGCAGGAGGCTCAGCTCCTCTGAGGTCCTCTGGGGTCTCTGCTTCCCCACCAAGGGGAGCTGACCTCACCGAGCCCCTAGGACCTCCTCCCCCGACTCTGCCCAGGAGGCTCTCCTGCCTCTGTTATTTCATCCCACCCTGAATGACATCTCCCTTTGAGCCAACAGCCCAGGCTCGGCCTCTGACCTCTACAGACGATGTGGGGCTCAAACCCCTGTGTTAACTGAGCAAAGGGGAAAACATGCAGGGGAGGCCTGGATAGGGAGCAAATGGTGACCTGGTGAGAGCCAGGCAGCTTGATACTAACACTTCATCAAGGGGCCCTGGCCCAAGTTCACCAGGACGAGGCAACCAGCCTCCTGGAGCCTCCGTGAAACAAAACGCTAGTCACTGCCCATCAGGGACCTGTAAGTGGTGTCCTGGGAGTTCAAGAACACGTTTTGAGGACATGGTGATGCAGAAATGTACACTGCCCACCAGGATTTCCGCAGGCCCCCGTGACCAGGTGAACTCCAGCAATAAGTCGGGGGTCGGGGGAGCCTGGATTTGCAGCTACATCTCCCACAGAGAGAAGAAATGCAGCTGTTCAGATGGTATTCCCTACATGTCAGGATTTCTCTTGAGGCATGTTCGAAATTTACCGTTGAGCAAAACATAGATCATGAACCAATACCTTCTGTGTAGCTAAGAAGGTATCTACTCTGTCATTTGGGGCCCATTGGGGATTAAAAATAACTCTGGAACATATTAAAGACTTTGGTTGGTAGAAGTAACTAATAGGGGCCCCCAGGTGGCTCAGCGGTTGAGCATTTGCCTTCAGTCCAGGCCATGACTCTGGGGTCCCGGAATCGAGTTCCACATCGGGCTCCTGCAGGGAGCCTGCTTCTCCCTCTGCCTGTGTCTCTGCCTTTCTCTGTGTCTCTCAGGAATAAATAAATAAAATCTTTAAGGAAAAAAAAAAGTCACTAATAAATTTAGTAATGACCGAAATCCAAATTCACAAGGAGGGCTCAGCAGCCTCTAGGTCTCTCTGACCTGAGGGGTGGAGAGGTTCGGCTGGCTGATGCCTCACTTTGAAAGTCTCTGATTTCAAGAAGTATTGATAATAGTGGCTCCCTGTTATGGCTTGAACTGGGTTCCCCCCCGAATACCACCCCCAAATCCTATGTGGACATCTTCACCCCCTCATAACCTCAAATGTGACTGTATTTGGAGAGAGGGTCTGTAAAGAGGTAACTAAAGGTGAATGACCATTGGGGTGGGCGCTAATCCTGTACGACCGGGGGCCTTAGAAGGAGATCGGGACACAGATGCATGTACAGAGGGTCGAGCCTGCGAGGACGCAGGGAGAGGACGGCCGTCTGCAGGCCCAGAAGAGGGGCCTTGGGAGGAACCAGCCCTGCACCCACCATGGTGCCGGACTTCTGGGCTCCAGAGCTAGGAAACCATAAGCCCCACAGTCTGTGTGGTGTTTGTGATGGCAGCCCGGGCAGACTGACACACTGTCTGGCTTCATGGTGCTGGATTTTTCCCTCTGTCAATGTCCCTACCCTGAAAGGATGGCATCACAGTCCTCCTTTCCCAGTTGGGGAAATTGAGGCTCTGAGCTGGCTCAGGTGGCACAGCCAGGAATCCAGCCCCGCTCCATCCAGCTTCCAGGGGACCAGGCTGTTCCTCGTGGGCAGTCAGCAAACAGAAGGCTCGGTGCTGACCACTGGCTTCGCACCAGCCCCTCTGACATTTGCAGCGCTGAGCCTCACTTGGGAGCCAAGCTCCCGGCTCTCACCCGTCAGATGCCCAGCACATCCTGACTGTGTGGCCTCCCACTCTATTCAACCAACCTTGTGTCCCATTTTTTCTTCCTTTGTTTGGTCTATAACGCTCTTGACTTTTCAAGAATTTCCTAAATCAAGATTTACATCGTCCGGCCATGCTGGCAGACTGCACGCGATGCTCGCTGCCAACATAAATGCAAAAGCCCAGAACGAGGTGGACGAGCCTTCCCTGCACATTCTTTCCATGGCAGTTCTCCGGCCAGCTCCCCATCACCCCCAGGGTGGCGCGGCTTAGCCTGGGATGGGAGGAGACCTCGAACTACCCAGCAAGGGACTGCTGTCGTGTCCTCGCCTCCCTGACGCTGGCTCCCCCGGCCAGCGGATCGGGGTTCAAATCCTACTGCCATCACCTACCCGCTGTGTGTGCAGGGGGGTTGGGGGAGCTCACGTTGCTCATCTGTAAACTGGGATTAACAACAGGGTTAAATGACGTAATGTGCAACAAATACACAGTGCAAAGGAAGCGCTTCGTACAGGCTTGCTATTTTTACTATTACGTTTACGGTGACAATCAACATCATCGATCTTCGTCGCTTACCCTAAGTTTACATTTTCCCAAAACTTGGAGGGACCTTCAGTTAATTTAAGGAAAGAGGAACGGTGGATCCAGGCGCTGTCTACTGCGTGAGAAGAACAAGCATCTGGGGCTCGTCTGTGTGTTCCGGGTCTGAAGGCAGCCCCTACTTTGACTTGCCAGGCACATGATCTCACCCGACCCCACAACAGGCCGCTGTGTGTTAGGAGGAACCTGACTTGGCCACAGGGCCCAGCGGCGGCAGAGAGAACGGCAAGGCTGGACATCTCTGCTCTGTGGCCCAGGGACAGGAGCGATGCCCCGGCCACCACAGGGCAGCCAGGCAGGGGGAGCCCAGTCCCGCTCGAGGACCTGGGAGCACAGAGGAAGGGGGAGGGGGTCACCCTCCACGCCTCCCACAGTGTGAGTGGACGTGGCCTGCACGCTGTCCCTCCTCCCCTGTTCTGCTAAAGGAACACCACGCGGGGAGAACGGTGGCCGCTGGCACATGTACCTGCATTCCTTGGATTTCGAGGTGTACGGCAGCGAGCAGTCCCTGTGCTGGGTGGCCATTTGTTGTCCGTCAGCACAGCAAGCCTCCATGACGTTGTCTGCGGCCACTGTGTGGGGAGAGAGCAGGGTGCCTGGTCAGGGGGTGACTTGCCATGAGCCCACGTGAGGGACCCTTTGATGTGTGGCCCCCATCCCATTGCCTCCGGCCCCCGCTACGGGCCAGGCCGGTCTGAATGGGCCTGGACACACCCGGCAGTCACTCCACAAATGTGAACTGAAAACCCACTGGGTCCTGAGCTGGAACTCACACCCGCTCCTTCCTAGAGGCCCGACACCTCCCAAATCCAGGCCTGATTCAGGGGGCTCAGCTCGATGCTGGGGATCCATGCTCCCCCAGGCTGAATCCCTGCTCAAGCCATGCTCCAGGGACCCTGCCCAGAGGGGGGCCTTGTCCAAAGTGGGACCTGACCAGACAGGGACCCTGCCCAGAGGGGGACCCTGCCCAGATGGGGACCCTACCCAGAGGGGGCAGAGGGGGGCCTTGCCCAGAGGGGGGGCCTTGCCCAGACGGGGACCCTGCCCAGACGGGGACCCTTCCCAGAGGGGGATCCTGACCAGATGAGGACCCTGCCCAGAGGGGGGCCTTGCCCAGACTGGGGGAGCCCTGCTCAGACGAGTCAGGATGGCAGCAAAGGGGTGCAGGTAACACCAAGATGACCCTTCGAGGGTCAGGGATGGAGGCAGCCAGGAGGTTCCCAGCAGGCTGATACTGGACACTAGAACAACCCAGGGGGGTCCCCTCCTGAGGGAAGGTCTGCCTGGTGAGTGGGGAGCTCACACCAGGGAGGAGAAGCAAGGCTCAGGGACAGGATGGAAATGGAGGCCTCACAAGCCCCTCGGGTGAGGAGGAAAGAGCCAACATTTCTAGACCAGCTTCTGGGAGCCACATCCGCGTTCTCTCCTTAAAGTTTTTTTTTTTTTTTTACATTTATTTATTTGACAGAGCGAGAGAAAAAGAGCACAAACAGGGTGAGTGGCCGGCAGAGGGAGAAGGAGAAGCAGATGCCTGAGCAGGGAGCCTGACACGGGAATCGATCCCAGGACCCCGAGATCACAACCTGAACTGAAGGCAGACGCTTCACCGGCTGAGCCCCCCACGTGCCCCTCTGCTTTAATTTTTGTAAGCTCCTAGTTAGCAAGGCGTCAGTCCTCATCGTACAGTTGATTTGTACAAGATCCTGTCCCCGTCCACAAAAAGGGCAGCAGAAGGGTCCACACGGGTCAAGCAGCAGATCCATGCGCACACTCACAGCCGGACAACGGCCCTCCAGTCCCCAGGCTGGCCAGAGCTCTGAAGAGGGGTGTCACCTGGAACCAGGGCTCCCAGGGGTCTCGGAGCTGCTCCCCACAGCGAGAGACATACCCCGGCCCGTCCTCACTCTCCCGGGGCTCCCCTAGGCCGGCAGAGCGAGTCCAAGCTGGTTTGGTGAAGAGTGACATACCACCCAGTCCGCTGCCACCCGGCCCCTCGTCCCCTCCCTGCCCCCTCCTCACCCCCCGAACGTGAGGGATTGGCCACGGGGCTGGGGCTCAGGTAAAGGGCTGGCATCTCGGGCCTCCCAGCGCCACAGCAGGAGCCCGGCCCCGGGACAGGAAGCCGCAGGGTAAGGGGCACAGTGTCCAGTGTTCCCATTCATGCATCCCCCACCCCCCACCCCTGTTCCTTCGTTGTCACCCTGAATTTAAGTCAAGTGCTCATGAAACACAGGACCTTACCTGTCGGAGGTAAAGTATGGCCTGTTGTTCATGAGTGTGACCCAGCCGGGAGGCTGATCCCCCCAACACCCCTCGAGCTGCCGAGCCCAGCTCCCCAGCCACCCCGGCTCCAGCTGGGCCCACCCAGCCCTCCCCCCCGAGGTGTCACCCTCGGGCTTCTCACAGCCCCTCTGGTCTCCAGCACCGCCCGCCCACTGGCTGGGTGCCCCCACTCCTGCAGCTGGCCACCCCCAAATATCCTGCAGGCTGGGCCTGTCTCTTGTCCTCGGTCCGTCGGCACAGAGCTGGCAAGAGCAGCTTCGGGGCTGAGCAGAAAGGGCACAAGCTGCTGGGGTCACAGCTCCAACCCCACCTCCGGCTCATCCTTGCTCTGTGACCCTGGCCTGGCGATGTCCCGTCTCTGAGCCGCAGCCCCCTCAGTGGTGAAGACGGGGCTTGAAGCGCCTCCGGAGAGATGCTGAGCTGCTAAAGGTCTGAGCACCCAGGGATTTGCTGGCCTGGTTCCCCGGTTCTCAGGGGCCACCCAGCCCCCTCAGTGGTGAAGACGGGGCTTGAAGCACCTCCGGAGAGATGCTGAGCTGCTAAAGGTCTGAGCACCCAGGGATTTGCTGGCCTGGTTCCCCGGTTCTCAGGGGCCACGGCCCCTGCCTGGGGTGCGGAAGCCCCCAGGGATGAGCAGCACCCCCAAAGCCTCCCTCCAGCCCCGGGAATGGCAAGCACCGGGGAGGCTCAGACTCCCACGGCCGCCTCAGCAGCGTGAGAACCTTGTGCCCTGAGCTGTGGAAACATTTGGAAATGATTCTCGCTGGGGAACCTGAGCACTTTGAACCTTCTTCTCAGCAGGACGATAAAAGTATTAAGTCTTTTGCTCAGTCCAGAAATTTGGAATGTCCCTGGAATGCTCCAAGCAGCCACAAAGCTGGAAGTTGTGCAAAGCAGAGCCGCCTGGGGGCCGCGTCTGGGGCAGGGAGGGGGAGTAGGGATCAGCATGCGCCGCCCCCCCCCCGGGGGAGCCTCACAGCCCTCTGGGGTCAGCTCATCCCTCTTGGGGATGCATCCCCATCAGCCACAGGGAAGCTCTCGCACAGCCCCAGCAGATGGGCGACAGAGTCTGCCAGGGCCCACGGCCGGGCTGGATGGTGACAAGGCAGGGGTGCAGGGACCAGACCCAGCAGGGTGTCACTGTCCTCATTGTAACAGGCAGCCCTGACACGTGATGAGTTTCTTCGATTCACCATCTCTTTCCCCCAGGAGCCCTTACCTCCCCTTTTATGCCACCACGCAGGGCGCAAGGGGTCACCTTGCCTGGCAGAGGAGGCATCTTTTCCAAGCCATGCCCCCCTCTATTGGCACCTCCATCCCTTCCTATATTTTACTCTCAAGGAATGAACAGCTCTGGGCTGGACATCTCTGTTCATAAACTGTCATTCCTAAAGTCCTGAGTATTTGCTTAGGCCAGAGAGGGAGAGGAGCTGGATCAAAGGGAAGACATTCTCCAGACTCTCCGAATAAGCAGGGGACAGCTGTCCTGAAGGCCTCCCTGCTCACATGGCCCTGCCAGCCCCGCAGCTGGAGCACCGCGACCAGGGTATAGGGCCAGCACCGGTGACCAACGGGTGGCCCTTGAGAGCTGGGCTAACTGGCCAAAGTTCATGGGTTTCTGGTCAAGGCGGAGGTGCTGACGTCAGGATGAGCTGAGAGCTAGGGCTTAAAGTCAGAGGGACCAGAGGGAGACTGCCAGCCCGTTTATCAAGCCCTCCGGAGCGCAGCAGTGCAGCGGGGAGGAAGGGGCAACATCAGGCAGATGGGGATTCGAGCCCCTGTCCCTCTACCCCCGAGCCCACTCTGCAGCTCACTGTCCCTGGAGCAAATTCCTGAAACTGTCTGCACCTCACAGGGGCGCCCCAATCTGTGAAATGGGGCTCAGACCACTGAGTCACAGGGTTCTTGTGGGCGCCCGGCACACAGAAGGCAGCCAGGGACTGTCCTACTCCTGTGTCTCCTCTAACCCTTTCACCACTGTCTTTAAAGCATATGCTGTGGGGGACGCCTGGGTGGCTCAGCGGTTAGCGTCTGCCTTTGGCTCAGGGTGTGATCCCGAGGTCCTGGGATCGAGTCCCGCATCGGGCTCCCCGAGCGAGCCTGCTTCTCCCTCTGCCTGTGTGTCTGCCTCTCTCTCTGTCTCTCAAAAATAAATAAATAAAATCTTAAAAAAACAAGATAAAAAAAAAACCAAGATAAAGCGTATGCCTTAAGTGTTTTGTCACCAAACTTGTCACCATCAGTGGCTGTAGGTATGGAAGCTGGACTTCAAAGATAATTATGAACGGAAGAAGCCAAATGGAGCTAAGTCACCACACAGGGATGGGAACATAAAGGCTAGGGCGTCCTCATCCCCCCAGGACCATGCCTTGCCCTCCCCACACCAGGGGGAGCGCTCAGCTGTCACTCAAAATCCCCGATGCTTTCCAGGCCAACCTCTCGCTCTACTGCTCCTGGGCCTTGGCTCTGGCCCCTCGAGGCTCTGGTCCTTCTCCGTCCTGCCCTATCACCTGCTCACCTCCAGACATCACCCAGCTCTGTCGGGATATCCTTCATCATCATGCCTCCCCACCATCACTGCCATCGCTCAGTGAGTGCTTGTCGCTGAGGGCTCACTGTGTGCTGGGCCCAGCACTTACCTCGACTCTCACAAGACCCCCAGTGAGGCCAGTTCATTATGTTCCCCATTTTGCATGTATGAAAATTGCAGCTCAGAGAGCTTAAGGAACTAGCTCAAGGTCACACGGCTGGGGGAGGTGAGTGGCAAAGCCAGGCATCAGGTTTGGTTCTGACAGCCTCCAAAGCTGGTCTGGTCTGCCTCCTGGCAAATTAGGAACTCCTCTGGGGCAGGGATGGTACCTCTGCCCTCCCGGTGACCCTGTAGCATCCGCCCACACCTGGCACAAACAGCGAGGCTCAGTATTAGTTGAACGGGACAGACTGGCCACAGGCATCTTAACCAGGCCGGATCTGCAAGACTGTCCCTGGAGTACAAGGTTCGCCTGCAAACACACCTCTTCACGGGGAGTCAATGACTCCCTGGAATAACAACTGATTGGGGCCTACAACCCCTTAGTGTGGGGCTGCTGAGAGCCCGGGACACGCTGGGGCCATGGGTCTGAGACTCCAGAATTACCACTTTATTGGCCTTAGAGACAGTTGCTACCCAACCCATCAGAGCTGCAGGGAAAGGAGGGGTCTCACAGACAGAGGGGAACCCCCTGCAGAATTCTCCAGAGTCATGGCTCAAGGTGTCAACAGGTACCATCTGCAGCAGGCTGGTCTTTCA